TCTACGAGCTCGCCTCGTTACTGCGAAATCCTAGGTTGAAGCCCCGGTGTGTGTATACTGATGAAGAGACCCAGGCTTTCCATTGGTTCTCTAACTGATGTCAGCACATGATCAGTCCTGTAGCCAATTAGATCCCTGCAAACCAACACTTGAAAATATAATAAACAGACACGAACGGGTGAAAGATAATAATAAGAACCTCGGAGTTCATTAAGAGTGAATGCCTCTGAGCTGTTGAGAACGATTTTGAGCCAATGTAACAAGCAGTCTCCACCCATTACTTCGTAGCGTCTTGTGTGTCACAACCAGATATTTTGACGTCCCTACGTAATTCAGATCAGTAGACAAAGACTTCCTGGATTGATACCATGTATAGGTTTCTCCACACCTATCTCTTTTCCCGCCCAGTTTTGTGTCTGCTAAGATTGTCCAAAGAGGCAAGCAATGGCTCGTCACATGTAACACCTACTCCAGCCATTTCAGTTAATTTAGTTTCATAACTTAAATCATGAGCTTCCCGTCGTTATCTAAAACTATGCCTAACTTCATTATTACTCACCACATTTTGCCAGCTGACAAGAGAGGTAGAACGCAACCACCCGTGGTTAAAGACAGTTTACTTGTTCAGATCTTCCAGTTTCAATGACCATGACTCAGTTGTGAAGAAGGCTGGCGCAAACTGCCGCTAGCTACACACATCCTTTGATCAACATCATACCTAGGCTAGGAATGAAGTAAGTTGGTAGATGCCACACAAACCTTTTGTATCCGTGCTGAGATTCTGCCAACAATCAGTCCATTAGGATTTATATAAATTCCCAAACAAGTGATGATGTAGTTATCTCATCCTGGCGCATTCCAGCCTGTATATTTCACAAGGGCGAATAGCAATGCAAAGCATACTAAGACTCTATCCAAGGTCTTCAGAAGATTCTGTCTTTATCTAAAAGGAAAACGCCATCTGCCTACTTTAAACCAACAACACTCTTTCCTGGCAACAAATCAATGAGGAAGTTCGGGAGCACATTCACTAATACTTGTGAACATAAAGATGAATGGAGATATTGGGCATCCCTGATAGATACACTGGTTCTCATTAGTTCACGGGACGACACTTGATAAGCTCTTACATGGCTGCATGAGCTCGATTAGTGCGATTAACTTTCTCAGCGTTCTCCTAACAGCCAGACATTCACATGTTACCTCCGGGTGGACGCAGTCAAGTACTGCGAAGCGTCATGTGAAGGATAACTAGTAATCATTGATGGGTAGCCATATATTCGTTTCCCACCTTAATCCGCGTTGGGTTTTTTTTATTCCGTTGCAACATTATATACTATTGTCATTTTGTTATTGGTTCGTCTAAAACAATGATTCTGATAATCACCCAAGTGTAAAAGTGTTTGAAAACCGCAGTTTAAACAGGGAAATGATTTACTACTTTTAACAGAATATTCTAGTTTAGCATCTATTTCTTAGGAATCCTACCTATTAGCGCTCTTGGAAGACCCTGCTTTGCTGATATGGAATTTTACGGTGAAGCAGAAATGCAATACTATGTTAAATTTATAGTTGGAGAGTTGCTATGACAAAAATCTTGGCTAGAATCATAAACATTGGTTTTTCGACATGTAGAAGGTATGCGTAATGAGGCTTTATAGTTTTCTAGTATGTGGCGCAATCAGAATCGAAATGCGAATACTGGATAAAGTAAATAAAGTTCTGTTGTCTGTCTGGATTCAACATAGAACATGGCACCGAAGTGCACCAGTTCGAGTTGCCACGTTCCAAATAGCACACAAAGGTAGACAAGAAGATGAGTGAAGAAAATCAATAGAGTTTGACAAGTATAAGAGTGAAACACAATGGGTAATGGTAGAAAGAATGTGGAAGATTACAGAGACTGAATACATCTGCGCTGGCCATTGACAACGATTTTGAGCCATGTCACCTATTGTCTCCAGCCATTGATTCCTAGAGTCCCGAGGGCCCCAACCCGGGAGTCTGCATCTCCCTACCTGACTCAGTTTAACTGTCAAGGATTTCATGGATTGATGAGGCCATGTTTTTGTTTGGCCACCACTGGCTCTTTTCCTACCTGAACCTATATCAGCTAGCAAAGCCCGTCGGGGGAGGCGGTGGTTAGGCGTCCGCAGCACGTGACCTAGCCATCTTAGTCTATGTAACTTTATAGCCTCGTCGATTGATTTTCCCTCTTTGCCCAACACTCTACGCCTAACGTCAACATTACTTACCTTATTATACCACCTAACGTGAGAAACAGATCGCAGACATCTATGATCGAAAGCAGTCAACCTTTTCATGTCTTCAACCCGTATTGGCCATGCTTCAGAGCCATAAAGAAGGACGGAGCGAACTGATGAGCAGTACACACGTCCCTTGGTTGATAACCGGATGTCACGCCTACGCCAAAGATGGTGTAAGTCAGCGAAAGCAGCTCGAACTGTTTGGATCCGTGCTGAGATTTCATCGCCAATCAGTCCGTTGGTGCTGATACAACTTCCCAAATAGGTGAAGTGGTCAACATGTTCTATCACTTCACTCCCTATCACTAAGTTAGGGGTTGACGTGGTCCAGTCCTGTAGCAGCATCTCATATTTCACAGGGGCGCATCGCATGCCTAACATACGAAGATTGCTGCTCAAGGTGTTCAGAAGACTCTGCATTTTGTCAGCATCCTCCCCTAACAGGACTATGTCATCTGCATATTCTAAGTCCATAAGATTATTCTCTGGTAACAAGTCGATTCCTGAGTCGTTACGTTCAGTTAAGGATACTTCCATTAGCATATCTATGATGAAGTTAAACAGGAATGGGGAAAGTGGACATCCCTATCGGACACCACTGGTTGTTATCAATTCAGATGATAATTCCCCATAAGCCCTTACACGGCTACGTGAGTTTGAATAGAGTGCTTTGATTAGTGAAATGTACTTTCTTGGCACTCCCTTCACAGTCAAACATTGCCATAGTACCTTTCGATCCACGGAGTCGAAGGCCGCCTTCAAGTCAAGAAATATGACAATTGTTGGACGCCGAAAAGTGTGTCTATGTTGTAGAATGTGTCGGAGAGTGATGATATGATTAGTAGTAAGAGAAATATGAGAATACGGGAAAATAGAAACCGTACCGAAATGCAAAGTAACTGGAGATGTTGTCGACTAAAAATGTTTGTACGACTGTAGGTATCAAAGTTGGCGGATAAAGTGTCATATGATCATGTACTGGTATTTTGAGGTCATATTATGTTAACTGTTCGACCCCAATTTGGATACTTCAAAGATCTTCCTTTTAATTGTCGCTGATCGGAACAGCTTTTCATGTCAGTCATTCTTGCATTCATATCCTGAATCTTACGTGTACTGCATTTGTGAAATGATGGTTTCGCCATATTTTCAGGTGAATTTTGGTTATCCATCTTACAGGATGGAAGAATCACTTTCATGAATTTTACCATCACATTAAGAGATAGTGGATAAGACTCTGTTTATTTCACTGTGTCATTACAAGGAACGCAGGAAATATAAAAGAGGTTGTCGCCTTCTCATAGATTACAAGCTGTGCTCTACTCACTCATTGTTCCACTTGAAGAAGTTATCATTGGTATATTTTAGTCAGGGAGATCGAATTTCATATCCTTTATCGGTTGACAACTCATTTTGTATGTTTAATAGTATGCGAATATACATATAGGTTACTAAAGTCCTCAGCTATTTTAATATATTTATGCGTTGAAATTTCTGTAGCAATTTGGGTGAAGTTGCTAGCACCATACCCAACCCTCCCTCTTTATCCGGGCTTGGGACCGGCTAGAAAACTAGCGAGCTAGTAATCTAGGCGAGATTAATAGAGCAGTTGATTTGAAGAGAGCTTGAACTACCCTGATATCACTGTTCAAGTGTGGATCTGAGCGAAGGATATTCTACACAATCCATTGCCTTAAAGATATCTCAGTCAGTGGAGAAAAGGCAACATCCCCGGCGGGATGCAAACCCGCAACCTTCGGAATAGAAATCCGATGCGCTATCCATTGCGCGTAAAGTCAGTTTTTCTATACGGATCGGATCAGAAACTTGGCGGGCAGGTCACAAAGAATATTTCCAACAGCCTGTTGCAGACCAGACCTTTATCAACAACTGTCTTCGCTGGCTCTTTACTGAAGATCAGATGGCTGGGCCGGAAAGAATCACCAACAAGAAACTATGGGAACAAACAAAACAAGAATCAATCGCCCAACAAATACGCAGGAGAAAGGTGAGACGGATTGGATACTCGCTGAGGAGGCCGATTGGTGACATCGCGCGTGCGTCAGGCCGTTGGTCGAGTGGAACCAGGCCGAAAGGGAAGTGGTGAGTGGGACGTCAGTGCAAGGGTGACATGGAGGAGATCGTGTGAAGAGGAGTTGAAAGAGTATGAACTAAAATGGATGAAGGTGAAAAGTACAGCAGAAGGAAGACAGAAGTGGCAAGTGGAGACGTGCAGTTGAAGTCCTATGTTCCACTAGGAACCCAAGGGAACAATAATATATAATAATAATAATAAAGTCCTCAGACGTTTTCCACTAATATTAAACGAAATAAAGTGAAGTGTGTTTCTCTGGTCCACTAGTTCACTTCTATACACTTGATAACAATACATAAAGAAAATGTGAGCAGAACAAAATACTGTTAATCTTATCAATAGGAATATATGTGAAAAAAAGAAGAAGTAACAGTGTATAACATATTGTGGTAATGTGGTTATCATTTCGAGATTAGAAGGTGAAATGATGAGAAATACAGCTGCCTTATTTTAGCGTAAAATTATGTCTCCTTGTTTTTTTCAACTTCATTACACTTTCCCATTGAAGTCCTTATAATGGCTAACCTAATCTCGCCACTTTTCGTTTCTTTTTATCAGTATTCATTTTTTTGGCTAATTAAGTGGGTGAACTGAGCTTTCTTCATTCTTACTCTTACTTTTGTTTGTTTCTCTTTCAGTTTATGGAGATGTAGAAACTGTAGTAGCTAATTTCTCTATCATGCTGCGTAATCAGTTAACTTCAATGCCGATAGATAGTGATGATGCAAGGCACAAAATAAGGTAAGCCTACTTTTGTAGTAATATACACTATCTCTTATGTGACATCATCCTATCACAGAGCCAGTCAGTCAGTCATCAGGTTTCCTTTATTTTCAATTTCATCTAAAGTATGCTTATCGTGAAATTGGTTCAGTTCACATCTGTTCAAGTGATAAGAGAGAATGTGAAATGCGACTATTTATCAGTATTTTATAAAATGATCTTAAATTATTTTGCAAGTGACGGGATTGGCTAAATATATACTTTTGTTTTAGTTTGTTCAGAGTGGAAATAATTCTGCCAGGGTATACACAAGAGTTAAACGTTGCTACCAGTGACATCATGTATACTCTGTGTGCGTGTGTGTGAATAACTCATAAAAGAACTATTTATCAGAGTGTGTAGAGTAATTTTCAACGACCATTGGGTCGGGTCCCAGTGGCTCAATGGTCTACAAGCTTGCCTTGTAACCAGAAGGTCCTGAGTTCGAATCCCGGTGGATGCGTACTGATAAAGAGTCCCAAGACAGGACGAAACAGCTGTCCAGTGCTCCCAGGTTTTTCATTGGTTATCTAACTGATGTCAGCTCATGGTGAAATCCTCCATGTGTAGAGTAATTGTTAAGCTTTTTCAGTGGTCTTGGTGCTTCTCAACAAAGAACATACTGATTTTGAGTATTAAACTGTGAACATTAGACTTGCTCTATTACTAAATGAATCAGTTTTCCCTAAGCCGTGGTTGTTTAAATTAACAGGGTAGATTTTCTTTTCTTTTGTCAGTGTTGCCTTGTATTTGCTACATATATGCACACTCACACAAATCTCATTTTATTCCGTATATCAATGTTCAATCAAATACACAGGTGGTTCAATGCGATCAAAGTCTAAAAGTTTAATGTTGTTATATTCAAGTGCTTTTAGCATTCCTCCTCGTTTCATTGTCGCGCTTTAGTTGTCTTTATTATTATTTTAAAAATGACAGGATCTCATGTATTGTATAGAGGAAGTGAGAGTAAGTAAGGCAGGCATCCTATAGATAAATATTATTCAGGTAAAACGTAGAAGTTGTAGCTGGCTTTTCATTCCACACACACAAAATAGTCAGTAGTTGACTAGACACTTTGAATAATTTGATGCTATTATTTGAAAGAAAGATTAATACTATCGTGTTAGTCAAAAGGTGATTCATTAATATGTACAATGAAGCGGGTATGACTGATATTTCTTCAAAATGTGTAATTTAAGCAAATCACTTAGTCCCATCAGACTAATTTGTATTGCTTTTGTTTTAGTTATCTGACTGTATAGCTTTGACTAGTGGTAAAGTGTGATGTGTGCGTCGGTGGCATAGCGGTTAGGACGCTCGCCGATCATGCACTTAGTCCGGGGTTCGATCCCTGGCCAACTCACTCCTTTACCTCGCTAAATCAGAAATAATGCTGCTAAAGCATGAGGCATGAGGCTAGCAACCCTATCCTGTAAAATAAACACTGCTACAGAAACTTCAAGCCTGTAGCTTGAAGCCTTATGTTCCACTGGGGAACGTGAAGGAAAGAAAAGTGTGATGTATTATTGATGAACTAACTACTCTGTTTATGATCATGTTACAGTTTAAATGAGGCACGTCATGGCATGGCATCAAACCCATCCCTCATTTTTGAAAGATGGAAGTTAGTATCTAAGTTAGCCTTTACTTGATACCTTTTGTTTTACGTTAACGTCAGGCTATAATGCATTTTAGTCAACGTCTATATTAAAGCTGATTTCTTTTTTTAAATAAATGACTTACCCAGGAAATGATATAAACGTGTGAATTGATGTATATACGTTTAGGTGTCTCTAAATAATATTTTGTTTGTTTTCAAATGTGATAGAATTCTTAAGAAGAAGAAGAAGTAGGGTGGATATGATTGTCTGCTGTAAATGCAGAAGTGGGTATGTGTGTTGTTGTTGTTGTTTGAGGCATTCAGCGTCTTATTAAACAAAATTTGGTGACTGATTATCGCTTTTCATCTACTCATTTTCCCTTACCTCTTACCATCCTCTCTCTCTCTCCTAGCTGAATTTACAGTTCTTAATAAATGTTTCTATTTTGAATGCATGCATGCAGAAAAGATAGAAAGCGTATATAAATCAAGCCATATTAGTGATTAAAAAATAATAGCCCATTTTACAGACTAGGAGTACTACTACTTCTACTACTACTACTAATAATAATAATAATGAAAGCGAGAATACTTTATCTTACTACTTAACCTAACTTTAACGTGAGTAAAACGTTAAGTTTACCGGCGCCTGATAAAAAGTAAGAATTATGCGAGATTGTATCTTGAATAATAATTAAATAATAAGCTTAGTTGCCCTTTGTTAGAGCTCTAAGACTTAATTGTCATTTTCTAACATCAACCCTTTTAGAATAATGTCTCCAGTCGTATCATTATATTATATTCAATTTCTGGAAACAGATTTTCCGCGTTCCAGGATGTGAGCTGTGTCAGACAGCTGATGATACTATTCAGTTCCCAAAACTGAAGTAGATGAAGCAAGTTTCGAACCTATAACTGATTTGGTTTATATCCAACTGCTTGAGCCAATGAACCACATCACAATCGAATAATAGAGAGATAAAAAGTAAAAGTAACAAAAAAGGTTTCGGTGATAAAGCTTTTTATTAATTATTGTATTTCAACGTTTCATTTCAGTTATCTAACTCAATTAGAAGTGGATTATGATCCTGGATGGTTGTGTTTAACATGTTTCAAAGACTGGCTGATCGACCAATTGCGCAATTATCAACGCTTATCAAGCCAAGGCATAGGTGATGGAAATTCAACGAATAGTGGTTCTCATCTTATCGGTAATCTTTTATCAATTGATAATCGATCCTCTGTAATGAATCCTGAATCATCGATATTATTTGCTGAAGGTAAATGGGGTTGTTCTCACTAAAAAAACAAAAAAAAAAACAACTTGATTATTTTCATACATCTCATCTCAACTATTTTTGCACATATATGCGCTTTGCTATTTTGAGCACATCATCTACTATCGTTTATTACTAGTTACTAAATACTATAGGGTCGTTCGATGTTACTCTAGAGCGTAACCTATTCAGTTTTAACTGTTCACTTATCGTTTTTTTTATTACCGTATGGAGGAAATACTAGATCATATTTGAAGCCTGCTCGATCCGACCGACTTCAGTGGCATACGTGTTTTTGTCAAGCGTCGAGGTGAAAGACACCCCGTGTATATTTTTTTTCACATGTGTATTTTCGGCAAAGTTCGATTCAAAAACGCACTACCACAACAGACTATCTGTAATGTAAACCAGTGAAAGTTCCTTTTATGAATTTCAACAAAACAGTAAGAGGACGTAATTTATCTGAAAAGTGTAGTGTATTATATGCGTAACACATTTTCGACATTCTGGTCACACACACATTCTTGTCATACATATTCATATTGAAGACAACAGAACATAAAGGCTTACAATTTTTATCAATATAAGTCAAGATATTTACAGATGATAGTCACAGATAAGAGGTAGAAAAATGGGGTAAAAAGAAAAGCGGATGGTGGTGGTGGTGAAAATATTGATGAATCTTGATTCTAAAATTGAATTATCGAGGCAGTAATTTTCGCACACAAAAAATTTATGACTAAGGCTTCAATGAATTTCTTTATATGATCCAAACTCGTTTTACGTATGGGCTTAAAGACACAAGTGAAATCAACTTTGTGACTCTTCTCTATGATATGCTTTACGACAAATGATGTTGGACATTTGTTTCAAGGACTAACTGTATCCGGTGATTTTCTTGTGCTCTTACAGCCATTTGGGAATGTGTTCCGTAGCCCTAACCTGCAGAGATCGATGGGTGACTATACATACATGTAAATTGGTAAACACAGTGGCATGTGACACCACTGCTCATTTTACATAGTTGAACTTAATTATTCTAACTCTCTGTCTTGTTAGCAGAGCTCCTTTCGGTATACTTCTCTATGGTGTATTAACTATGACCAAAGCCTGCGTAATCACGTCAGGTATTATGCGATGTTCTCTCTATGTCCCTTTTAAACTCAAACACTAAATCCCTCGGTAGCTCATTCCAGGTATTATATCTTATGTCGAGTTAAGGCTAATAATAATAATATGTTAATTCAACAGTTTCAATTTATATCTTTCTAATTTTATCTGATTTCTACACATAGTGGGACATAGAATGTATTCATGTTGGGTTGTAATAAGTATTTTATCAATAACACTCATTAATAGTCGTAGCAGTGAAAACAATGGTCATTACTGATATCGCGTCACATATATCTTTGTCTCTAGTCCAGTAAATTTTTTGATTGCAATTATTATTATAAAAGAGTTCTGTGCGTATGGAAATATTGTGACTCATACATATAACTTAGGTCTTCATGCAATATTCATAAACATTATGCTCATTATTTGTAATTTCAATGGAAACCATCACACTAAGTATTGCGATTACCATTAAATGTATATATATATATATATATATATATATATATAATGGTAACCGTTATTAGATTAGATTGAGTTGCATTCCTGTTGTCCTCTTGGCATAAACAACCAAATGAATAATAATTCCTCTAATTAAAAAATACAACAAACCTTCTCAAAATTTCCCATTAGATTTAGAAAATAGCTGTTTTTGTATGCATTTGTGAGCTGGTGTTAAAACTTCTGAAGGAGAAACCCATAGTTGTTGATCCATCAATCTATTGTATTAACTAAGAGTAATCATTCCGCAGCATTACTAATTTGTGATTTTAGGTTATTTGAAATAGAGAAACAAATAAGAAAAAGGGATCACAGACTCAAATCGAGTTTCTTCATTTATAGAGTTTTAGACATCTGAGTACAATAGCATGAATGGAGCATGGTAGCGAATCTGTCCGATGAGTTGCATTACGCAGTGAATTCAACTTCTTGAAATTTATGCGTCTCTATCTGCATTGTGTACACACACACACACACAGAGAGGTCTTCTTAAATAAAGTTTCTTTCTTGTTTATGCTGTAGAGTTTTACGGTGTTCCTCGAATGGTGGGTATGGTTAAGTCAGTGTGTCGCCTGCTCACTACTCATGTCACACAGTTTTGGCGTCTGGGTGCTGCGTATACGTCTGGGCAGTTGAATTACAGTAATCAAGCTCCTGGAAACACTGTAAGTATATTATTGCAGAAATGTGCGTGGAAATGATTAAAACAGATAAAATTTCGTCTTTCAACATTCAAGGTTTAAAAACTGAATTTCATTTGTTTCTATATTACTGCACTATTTCACAGTTTGAAAGTTCTAAGTTTATCACTTTGTCACTGAAAGTACTAACTGTGTCTACCTGACCACTGATCTAAGCGACTCCCTTTTGTGGCTATTTTCAGTGATTCAGTAAAGCGAAATTTGTGGACTACTTTTTATTCTGTGTAATTATGCTGCAAGGTGCTTTTGTTGTTTCACCATTTAGTTTTGCATAAACAAACAATTTTAGTCATTACAAACTGACAATACTATAATTAGGAAATAACCTCTTACTGTAAATATATGTATATGTTTTCCTTTTATCCTAACTTTTGCTTAATACATAAACTTGTTTTTACAATTTATCGTTTCCTTTTCAGAAAGTTTACGATAAACTCGGTCAATCGTCCACAAATGATCCTAAAGCAGCTTGGATAGTGAGTTGAATTTAATTGAATATCTTCGGTGGAGTTTTCGCCTAGTGTGTGACTTTTAATTAATTTTGATAATTTTAAAGGATTTGTCATTAGAATTATAAATTTTTGATAACAAACTTCGTTAATGGCTTAGAAACTAAAGTAAGATTAAATAAGCAAGTTGAGTGACGTCATCTAATTGACCAGGTTGAGTAGAGCTTAACTAAAATTAAAACTAAACAAAAGTCAAGTTAACAACAGTGGTAATAAGGAGTACAGATTTATTAAGGGTTGGCGGAAGAAAATACTAATACAACTAAGGAACAAAAAAGCCGGAAAAATACGAAATAAAACTTCTGTATTTGTTGCTATCATAGGTCAGGTCCACTGTAGATTTGATGACTGAACAAACTGCTTTTGTACGCAGAGTTTGGAGTTTAACGTGTGAATTGCCATTGGCTTCTCTGTTGTTTGAAGAAGTTTGATTCGTACTCTTTTAGCGGAATTTTGAAGGAGACCATGTTGATGAGACTTACGATAATAAAGTGAACTGAAGCTATTTTAGTGGTCCTTACTAGCTGCAAAATAGCCTGAATTTGGAATAAATTTTCGGCGTAATATAACAGTCGGTTGTTGTTATTGTTGTTTTCGAGTTGACAACCTGGTTCGTCGCATATAACAATGATCCAACTAGGTATGCTACTTAGAACAACTTCTATCTTGGGATTCTTTTAAAACTATTCAATGAACTTCAGTCAGATAGTTACCGAAATAAAACAATTATCCATGCAAATAATTTACTTTAGAGTTACAGTCACTGGTCACGACATCTCACTAGAACTCCAGGAAACTCCGTTCTGTGAGGTCCATCCAGTCAAGTGTGAGGATGGATGCCCCATCGACAACATTCTTTAGGGTTGCGCTAAATAACGAATTGGTAGAAGTTAGAATTCATAAAAGTGAAGTTTTCTAAAGTTGGTTTGTAAGGATTAGTTTTGTTTTTACGAGTTGATCACGGATTGATATCAGTTAGAGAACCATTGAAAACCAGGGAGTACTGGACAGCTTCTGTTTCATCCTAGTTTGGGAATCATCGACAGTACGCACCCACTGAGTTTTGAACTCAGGACCTTTCTGTCACAAAGCAAGCTCGTATACCATTCAGTCACTGGGACCCGATTCAATGGCCATCCCATGAATTCTAACTTCTACCAATTCGTTATTTAGCACGACCCCAACCATTGTCGTTGGTGGGACATCCATCCACACACGCGGTTGAGGTCTCGCTAAATCACCAATTGGTAGAAGTTAGAATTCATGAGATGATCATTGAATCGGGTCCCAGTGGCTGAATGGCTTACGAGCTTGCCTTGTAACCGGAGCGTCCCGGGTTCGAATCCCAGTGGGTGCGTACTGCCGATGAATCCCAAACTAGGATGAAACAGCAGCTGTGCAGTACTCCCTGGTTTTCAATGGTTCTCTAACTGATATCAATCCGTGATCAACTCGTGAAAACATAATTTTATGTTTAATTTTCTGTTCGATTAACCGCTACAAATTAAACTGAATAGCAGTTACACTTTTTGCTTATTGGTGTATTAAAGAAGACAAGTTTATCATCAGTGTCTGCATCTTACCACTTATTTATTTTGTTTTACTGCCTTTTCGATTTTCTCCATACTTTAATAAAATAATTTATTTTAGCAAATTAACTTGGAGCTGGTTCATGCTATTTCCAATCACATGCGCGATAGTGTTCTTGAAGCATTCAGTAGTACAACAAATGAAACAGCATTAACCGATTACTTATTAGAATGTATACGAGAATACAGGTAAGTGTGTGTTGCATAATAAATACCCTTAGTCAACATTGTCTAGCATTTTATTTTCTGCCTAACAACACCTAAACGGAATAGTTTTCAAAGCTCTAAATGAAATAGATTGTTGCATATAGGTCATTGCGTTACAATAAGGTGAATGGTTTTTGTCGGTTAGCTGAAATAAAGAGTTTGTTGCGAAATGCGCTTAATGTGATGATTTGGTTTGATTCATTGATTGGCTGACTGGTTTCAACAGAGAACTTTGCACAGATGTGCAGCAGTTCGAGTTGCTACACTCCCTTTAGTACACAAAGCAAGAGGACAGTGAGCAAAGCAAGTTTCAGCAGATAGATAATAAACTGGAGTATGAGGGGAAAAGAATAGTAATATGGAAAAACAACAGAATTTTATTAGGTATGATAAATCACAATGAGTGAATGCATCTGCGCCACTGAGCCATACCGCCAATCGCCTCCAGCCTTCATTGGTTTTTATCATCCCGAAGACCGCAACCAGTCAGGAAGTCTACACCTCCCTACATTACTGGCTGGCTTGAACTAACTGTTATGGATTTAATTGACTGATGAAGCCGTGTTTTGGTTTGACCACTAAGTAGTCCTTATCCAACCTCACTTTGATTAATTGAGTTAATAACTGCCTTTAAAATGAAAAGCTGAGTTGTGGAACGATTCAACTTGGAGAGATTTCATGAATTGTTAGAGTACTTCTTCATCCTTGAATCATGCAAAAATACACCAATGTGATGTATTCAATGATAGTTGCTTAGATAACTTACTTTGGCTAAATCCTACAGGAGAGTGGTTCATATTAGTTATATATTTATATGAACAATCTATAGTATACAAAATTGCATCCTGCTGTAATTCTCATAATCATTGTGGTACATTATTGAAACTAATTGTAGTTTACACAATTTAATGAGTGCGTATGAATAGGAATTTATACTTCGGCCATGTAATTGCATGCTCACCGATCATGCATATGGTCCGGGGTTCGATCACTGGCCGATGCACTCATTTACCTCACTTATCCAATAATAAGACTGATGAAAAATAAAGGTTTGGCATGTAGCTAGCAATCCCACCCTGTAAAAATAAAACACTGCTACAGAATCTTCAGGTTTCCAGCTTGAAGCTCTGTGTTCCACTGGGAATGTGAAGGAAATAAAAAAAAGTAATTGTATCAGGAATCTAATTAGTTTACCCATAACTTAAGTAGCATAGAACTTCAGGAAATCACCAAATAACTCCTTTAAAAAATGTTTCTAGCATGCAGACTTATTCGTATTCAATGAGTAGTCATGAACAGCACACACGTATACAAGTTAAACATTGTAAACAGGTGAATTGGCCTAATACACTATGAATTTTATATACACTTGATAAGAAAATTTTCCAATTTAAGGAACATAATTACTTTCTCACGACTTCTCTCTTCGTATTCAGGCAATGTTGTAGTTCATTACCATTGACCGAGATGCCATCTGATATCATCGATATATTTGCTAAACTAGCCTATGATCTACGCAAACTTGCAGTTCGTGGGATATTTCTGCGTGCTCAACTGAGTAAGTCTGTCAATTCAAACGCCTTCAGTGAGAATATTTTTCTGTATATATATTTTCACCAGCTAGATAATCTTTAAGAAAAACAGGGTGCAGTAGACAGTTGACAATCAGTTCAGTACTATTCATTCATGGTCTTCCACAGGATAAAAAGAAAAACTCTGAAGCCTAAAATACCCACTAAACATTTCGCCTTTCACACTACTGAACTTCTTATGTGGTGCAATTATCATTGCATTTCATCTTGTATTCGTTTTGTTTGACCACATAGATTCTAGCTTTAAATCAGGATGTCTCTATTTCTACTACAGACGTATTGTAAAAAATGGTCACTGAGTCTAGGGAGCATTGTCTCAAATACAGGCAGTCGGAACGGACGAGAATGTCAAATCGAGCGAGAATCGGGAAGGCCAGCGAGAAACACATTCACTTATCAACCTGACTGAAAGCAATCTGGAAATCTTCGTCACTCAGCCAGCATCAACAACAAAATTCGGTGGGATTTTCAATACAAACGTCAAGCCAGTCAGTTCTTCTATACGGATCGGATCAGAAACTTGGCTGGTGGGTCACAGAATATTTCCAACAGCCTGTTGCAGACCAGACCTTTATCAACAACTGTCTTCGCTGGATCTATACAGAAGATCAGATGGCCGAGTCGGACCGGAAAGAATCACCAACTATGGGAAACTATGGGAACAAACAAAACAAAACAAGGAGCAATCGCCCAACAAATACGCAGGAGAAAGGTGAGACGGATTGGATACTCGCTGAGGAGGCCGACTGGTGACATCGTGCGTGCGTCAGGCCGTTGGTCGAGTGGAACCCGAAAGGGAATCGGCGAGTGGGTCGTCGGTGCAAGGGTGACATGGAGGAGATCGTGTGAAGAGGAGTTGAAAGAGTATGAACTAAAATGGATGAAGGTGAAAAGTACAGCAGAAGGAAGACAGAAGTGGCAAGTGGAGACGTTCGACTAGGAACCCAAGGGAACAATAATAATAATGTCACATATACTGGTGCTCAGCATCTGTTGCAAGGAAATCAGTAAGATGAGAACGTTAAAAACAGCTTCGCACCAGTGTTTTTGTATTATCCATTCATTTCATCATTTGCATATGCTTTTATCGTGTTTTTATATCCATACTCTCATTAAAAAAATATTGTTCCTCATTGTTTTCCTATGCATTTCAGCCATTGAAACATTGCAAATTAAAGAAAGATGGGATGTTGACATAAGTGATGCTGATGGGGGAATCACAAAGCTTGTATGTGATAAGTTTTGTTTGATTTTACAATATATATGATTGATAGTAACCAATGGTATGCTTATTCATCACATATCACTTAAGAGAAAACAAATAAGTCTACGAAATCATAAATTCCAGTTAACCGTACTTAACTCGTTGGTTTATTGCTTTTGGTGTTGTTGTTGTTGTTGCTGTTGTTCATTTCATGCATTCCGAGTGGAATATAGGACTGCAAGATTTTGGAGTTTTAGTAACGATATTCTTTTACTGGGTGGGGTGAGGGATTGCTATACTTCATGCCCAAACTTCCTCTCTTCCCTCGCTTACTACCATCTAGGCGAGATTTAGTTAGCAGTGCGCTGGTTGGCAATCGAACCCTCACCTCTCACATGGCTGATGAGCATTCTATCACTGTTACCAGTTAGTTATTACGCGTTAAATTAATATAGTGATATTTGAAAGTGCAAACATTTTTATTAGTTTGAAACCCACACCACTTCTATTGAAAACAATCAAAATAACTAAGGGATTTCAGTGGTCCAAGTGGACAAAGTAACAAAAGAGTTTTAAAGGATTTTTTGTTCACCAGTAAATATTACTCAGTAACAGTCTTAAACCGGCTAATATGTTGTAACGTATTCCGAAAATGCAAAAAATGCGCCTTTCTCTGTTGGCACTTTAACATTGGAAACCTTTTCCGAAGTGATGATAGTAGCTAGTGGTTACTTCATATTAAGTTAGATTAACCAATAAATACATCCATCTCTTTCGCGTCCACCTGTTAGCTCTGTTAAAGACAAATTTTTAGCCCTCCATTAAACTTCACACCTTTTCACAGCAAGAGAAACGTATTACTGCACATAGCTTTTGTACGTAATTTACTCAACTTACTAACCTTATATTGAGTAGTAAGTTTTGTTTTCGTTCAAAAAAGTTCTCGTAAGATGTCTGCAGTCTCGAATAAAGCCTATTTAATTTATGCCAAATTAGTTTTCATTCTTCCCATTGAAGATTATTTATTAGTGTAATTTATGATTTATATTAAGCAAAGGGGACTGAGTTCGAAACATAAAGAGAAAAACATCTTTTTATTTTCAAGTATTGGTTTTGTAGGGATTTTGTTTGATTGCATGGAGGATTTAATCATGAGCTCTAACTGATGTCAGCTCATCTTTTTATTTAACAGATCATTTTGAAACTTTCTGAAAGTTTCATACCCTACCGATTGATGTAACCACCAGGTGGTTGTGTCCACTTCAGTGTGAAGTTCTACATTGAAAACTCAGTCAGTCAGACTGCCTAAAACAATTATGAAGGAATAAGAATTACACACTTCAACTATTCTCAGTAATAACATAGAAAGCATTTTTACAGTTGTGTAGTTACTAGTGTCATTACAGCTGACAAATTGGGACTGAAATCGTCATCCACTTGTATAATGGCAAAGGGAGAAGGTAAAGTGAGCAATAGTTTGTGATCTAAACGTCATCAGTTAATATAACCGTATAACACTGTGTGATTTGTCAAAATAAAATCTTATCCATAATGAAGCGTGAATCTGTATTATTCACGTAATTGGTTTACCAGATGCTGTTGATTAGAAAACAATGTGCTAATACTTCCTTTTTCTTCCATATTCACATATTTCAAAGTGTTTTGGTTAGATGAGGACAATGAGTTCTTTGTGACGCACTTACTTATGTCAATATTCGAATACATGCATTGTCATTGTCCCTTCTGAACATATTTGGCTCACATTGCTGTTTATCGTTTTGAAATATATGAGATACCCAGTAATTGCTACATAATGTACATACTGTTCATTGAAAATGGCCAATAGAACTTTTGAAATCGCTTAGGTGACCTGAACAACAATTTTTCCCCAATAGTATATGTATCTTTATGAATTATTTTGAGGTAAGTTCGGAGGAAAAAGTGTTTAGAAAAACTATATTTGTACTTCTTTGGGCGGAAAATATGACTAAGAATGTGTTCAGTTGTAATCATATTCACGTTTTGTTTATTCTTAAGCCCTTGCTGTACGAGGACATTATTGCAGACTCATTGATACTTTGTGAAGAACAAGTGTTTCCTAAGACATCAATGGAGAAACCAGTAAGTATTTATGATTTTTACAACTTTATAATTACTTTTCTTGCTTAGAACTAATAAGTTTCTGCAAAATTATCTATATATGTGAATTACTTATTATTATTATTATTTCCTTTAATTTCTAGAGGAACATAGGGCTTCAGCTGCACGTCTCCATTGTGTTTGGTTATCTGATAAAGTTTTCACCTGGCTCCAGGTCTGCCCACATATTTTCATCTCTTCTTCATATGACCGCTTCCAAGTCACACCACCCTCGCACTGACGACCAACTCGCCGCCCGCTACCCTTTCGGCTTCCACTCGAGCAATGGCTTGTCTAGTGATGTCACTCACTTGATGATTTCCTCAGAGTATGGCCAGCCAATCCACCTCCATTTCTTCCCGCCTATTTGTTGCACAATCGGTTCCTGCTGTGTTGGTTCGCTCATTGCCACGGACTCCTACCTATTGCTGATTTTTTCTGGCCGGCCATCTGATCTTGAGTGAAGTATTGAGCGAAGACAGCTGTTGATGAATATCTGAAGTATGTTTGAGGTGCTCTTTATGACGCGTAGTGCAAGTCTCTAATCCGTATAGTAGCACTGACTGAATTCACATTGGAGTTAAAAATCCGGATCTTATTTCTGATGCTGAGTGCTGTTGACTTCCACACAGACTTAAGAGTAGTGAAAGCTTGTCTTGCTTTTTCGATTCTGGCTTTGATATCCTCGTCAGTTCCGTCCGCCTGTAGTTGGAACGATGCTTCCCATGTAGGTGGGTAGGCGAAGGAGGTTGTTTCTTCCAGGTTCCTCCCATTTATGCTGGCTGATTGTTGTCTGTTGTTGTTGATGTTGGTGTTGGCCAGGAATCTTCATCAATTCTGTTTTCTCTATGTTCACCTGTAGTGCTTTCATTGATGCTTCTTGTGCCAACTTGTTGCTTTTCACTTGCATATCTTCCAGTTTGTGGGAAATCAGACATATATCATCGGCGAAGTCCAGATCCTCCAAGTTGTTTTTTGTGTGAGTCCATTTTATGCCTGTTCCCTCGTTGGCCGTTTTCTGTCTCATTATCGAATCTACTGCAATCAGGAAAACCATTGGCGATAGTAGGTAGAGTAGTCTTACTCCCGTCCTCACTTCGAAGGCTTCCGTAAGTTTCCCGTTGTGGATTACTTGGCATGCAGCATTGTCGTACAGCTGTTGGATGAAAATTCTTCTCAACTGGTTACAACCTGAACGCTAAAAAAATATGAATTACATTAAAGATACGAACATACTTTTCCACGATCATAAGGAGTAATTGGTAGAAATAAGTTAATATGTTTTCTTTAGTTACGTAATCTACTTTTTTGTTATGCTCTTTCTAGCTAAACCTTGTTTCTATATATATATATATATATATATATATATACCCAACCCTGTTTTTTTGTTTCCAAGCCTAATTGTCTAATTATTCTATAAATAGTCAGTGTTTGTAACTCCTAATCAGTTAAATCACTCCGGACTAATGTTACGTTTAATTCCTACCAATTACTCCATATGATCGTGGAAAAGTATGTTCGTATCTTTAATGTAATTCATATTTTTTAACATTCAAGTTGTAACCAGTTGAGAAGAATCCTCGAAATAATAAAAGATGAGCTCATATTATCCTGGTACAATTGTTGTTCTTGCTTTGTTCATGTTGGATGAGATGCATAATTGTCGATGGGAGCCCGTAGTAGCTAAGTAGTTGCCGAATGACTTCTCGATCGACGCTGCCGAAGGCCTTTTCAAAGTCGACGAAGTTGAGATAGAGAGGTGACTGCCATTCCAAGCTTTGTTCAATGATGATCCGTAGTGTTGCGATTTGATCAATATATGACTTGTTTCTTAGTTACTGGATAGTATTAGGTGTTGTAGCTTACTTCTGTACCAGCCATAGTATGGCAATTTTGAATTTTGGAGGTGGCGATTTGCTTTTATTATTATTATTCGCTTGGGTTCTGAGTGGAACATAGGGCTACAAAAACACATCTTTTCTTTCTTCTATTTTCTGTCATCCACCTCAGCTGCGTCCACGATTGCCCTTAATCTCTCATCTCTTCCTCACACGATCTCCTTCATGTCACCCTCGTACCGACGACGACCCACTCTTCGCTCCCTATTTGGATTCCACTCGAGCAACGGCCTGAATTGAGCGCGATGTCATTCGACAGCCTCCTCAATGTATGTCCGATCCATCTCCATTTCCTGCAAATTAGGTGAAACAGACTGATTCCAATCCGATCCCTGACATTGGATGATTTCACATCTGATTTCCATAGTTACATGTGCTTTTGGATAATTTTGGTCAAAACGACGACAAATGTATTTGTGTGTCATATTTAAAGCAACGCGACCATACACACACGTACTACTCGCAGAATATTCGATGCAAAATAAATAAAGGTTAAATCGCAAAGAAATTAACTGAGAGCAAAGAAGGTTTTAGATGAAGGTTAAAATAACAGTCAACTTAGAAACAATAGAACAGAACAAATGTATAAACTTTAATTGTGAATTTAAAAGAAAACGTCCATAATAGGTCACAAGTTGTCTGTGAATTAAGTCTTCTGCGGACAACAGGTTTTATGGACAAATGGAAACATCGCATGCGTATTTTCTTTTGACTAGTGGTTTCTTCTTTTATTACACTAGTAAGTACTCAATGGTCAAATGATTCAGTCTTCATTCGAAAGCCTTACTCGATAAGCGGTCTCCGTTCATGTGTGAATCGATGTAAGATAAATGTAATAAATACAGCGTGATGTGGCATTTTCATCCACTTAGTAAAGAATTGGAAGACATAGGCTTAACTGTATATTTTACCATACTGCCTCGTATTTAACAAGTAGTAAAGCACAGTTTGAGTATTTACCATGACGTAAAAGAGAATCAAATATACTTCTGTTATTCCTTCAGATATTTATTACTTAGAATGATAACTTTCAGTGTTCTCGGTCAGTGTAGAAATTTTGTTATCGAATGAAACAATGAGCTGTATTCATCTTTCCAACATTTTTCAAAATATAGAGACGGTAAATGATTCCAAAAAAAAAAAATTACAATCGGAAAGCACCTACACTGACTGACTGATGATCGGGAGGGCTTCGTGTGCTTTTGGAAGCGTGTGGGCTGTTGTTATTTCCCCGCTGTTCAAACTGTGGAAGTCAATTCTTTTCTTCACGTACCTGAAATAGAAAGAGTGTTAGTGTTGCGTGACCGCAGAGCCCAGGAGCCTGCTTGAGGCCGGTCATACACGGCCTGTTTGAAATGGTTTCTTGAATTGGTTCCGTATTAGTAACTTACCACTGGTTACGGACTACCGTAGGTTACGTCTGGATGTAAATTTTTTGTGGTCGACCTTTTCTAACCCCTCCCTCCAGAGTGGAGAGACAGCATAGTTGGCATGCTTGTCATCTGAGGAAAACACCTTACTGCTGTTGTTGCAACCCTGTTCCCAAGAAGTACGAATTCACCCACAATGCCGGTAACTGCTTTTAGTCTAGTCGCTATCCTAACAACCTTCCTGGCATGGTGGGACCTGCAGAAACAATAGTTCCAGCCAATGTAGCTTGTTGGATCATTGCGATATGCAAGCCCAACCACCATGTCAACGTAGCAACTATTGGTCGGGAAAAAAAGCACCTACATGTATCGTACTCAGTCACTTCCAACCTTAACTCTCGTAATTTATGAGTGAATAATAAAAGACTTCTTTTTTCCAATTTTCCTTTATCATTACAATACACATTTAGCTTTTCGATGCTGGTGAACTTCAAGAACGTTTTCCTGAATGGTGCGGGATCGGAATGCTAAGTTTCATCTCAGTATCACAACGTTTAGCTGACCAAGTAGAGTAAGTTAATGGTTGGATTTACATATATATCTCTTTTTTTTTGAAGTTTCAGTAGTAGTGATGTTGATTTCAGGTAATGAGGTTGCTGGTCTCACACCGGTGATCGAACCCAGACCACGTGCATTGTTGACAAGCATTCAACCCTTCTAAACACCGATGCACATATATCCACTAAATGTGTTTTAGATTTCGTTTTTCTTATTACCATCACTATATTATTATTATTGATTTTTAAACTTCGGCCATCAACAACTGAAGTGTTATTGTATCATATACATCTAGTAGTGGTCAAATGTTATTCATCCATAAAATTTAAATTTAGGCTTAATATTCAGATGGTACTTATCACAGTAAAGTTGTTGATAAAAGCCATTTAAGAATTCTTTTTTCTCGTTTCGCGGTTAAAAATGTGAATTTCGCGCGTGAGTAAATTAAATAAAAGTAAGCTTTACATTTGCTCTCTGTTCTGTGTGTTTGTTTTAATCTTTGGATGAAAAATCTGTCAACAGAACTTTCGTATTATTATTATTATTATTATTATATTATTATTATTATATATTATTATTATTATTATTATTATTATTATAGAACATTCACACAACTTTTACTGAAAAAAACAACAAATCGCCTTTTTATTTTTTTGTAAACTATATATGATCTTTAGATAATTAAAAGCTGTGAAGAATAAGTATGCGCGTTTCAAAGTTATAGAGTGTGATTGTCATACGGTTTTTTCACTCCTATTCAATGAATAGCTTCATCCTGAAGCATACACATACGCAATATAAAATGCTTTAAACTAATTTCCTGTCCAGTAGGATTTATTATATCTGGAATCAAAAACAAAAATCTCGTAATGCTCATTAAATATTATATATGATGAACATAAAAGTTGCGCTATTGGTTTTATTTTTTTTTAAATCACTGAATCAGTGCATGTTCACACTTCTGTGGTTTAAGCCCACCATCCAATAAGTTGATATCAGTTAGAAAATCACTGGAAAACTACGAAGTACTGGACAGCTATTTCATCCTAGTTCGGAACTCTAGCAGAGTATGCTAGAGTTGAAATCTAGGATCTCACCGTTACAAGGCGGGCTGACATACTATGCAGCCACCGGGACCCGATCCAGTGTCCCATGAATTTCAACTACTGCCAGTAGGAGAGTATATCTGTGAGGTCAACAACATAGGTCCAACCAGCAGGTCGTGGGTAATCAGATTATCGGAACATAAGAATTTAGTTAAGGTAAGAATGGTTGACCCCGAGAGGATAAATAACTTAGGAAAAAGCTCGACAATTGCACTGCATGCATTAACACACAACCACACAATAGGGTGAGAGGTGGTTAAAATTCTAAAAAGTAATCTAGGTAGGTGGAGAGTGAGAGAGGTTGATTACTGAATCCTTGTTCATCGAGTGCACACCGAACACAACACATGCAATAGGAATGACTGATCACTCATACGGGATATGGAAAATACTACTACCAATCAAATCAAGTGAAAAATAATGGAATTATATAAACGAAGTTAGAAAGTTATGTGAGTACCTTGATATGATTATGAGTGGCAATAAATTGTTCTCGAAACACCATCAGCAAATATTACTGTATAACACTGTGGGACTTTATCAAAATAAATTTAACCCATTGATATAAGCATAAAACTTTGACACTACGGTAGAGTATAACTCCATTATAGATAACATTTTATTTTGATAAATCACACAGTGTTATACAGTACTATTAACTGATTAACATTTTGAGTACAAACTATTGGTCATAATCCATAACACTCATATTATTATTTCTGAATGTACATTATCTTATATTGAGTTTTATTCAAATGTCTAATCATCAGTTTTTACTCATGTATATAAATGAAGCAAGGAAGTTATGTGACTTCATATGACTATGAGCAATAGTTTGTGCTCGAAATGTCGTCATCAGTTAATATTACTGTATAACAACGATGTGTGAGTTATCAAAATAAAATCTTATCCATAGTGAAAATTTAACCCATAATGGAATCATACTCTACCACAGTGCGCAAGTTTTGCTTTTATATATAACAAGTTAGTCTAGGCATAATTTATTAGCCACTTTTCACACTCATTTTTATAAAGTATGTTGATTAGAATTTCTTACACGTACATATGTATCACATCTGAAGATCTAAAGGGCTAGACACTTTATTAATTCACTGAAATCACGAGGGTTGGTTCCAACTTCAATCTTTTCCATAACTTTTTTGTTACTATATTCCAGTCACTATAATGCGCAAAACACAAAATCCATCCTTATACGAAATAACAAGTATTTATCTTTTTGATGGCTATATGCGGGATATGCAGCTTATAAGCTTGAGCACTCGTCTTTCAGTTAACAAGTCCAAGGTTAGAATATAGACAGGGCAGCTAGATTATAACATCAGCCCTCACATTTTAAGGTTCACAGCCTGGTATGTGGAAAATGTTTTTGTGGATATGATTTCTGATTGTCTGACGACTTAAAATCTGATGCATCAGTTTTGTTTCCGTTCATAAATTTATGTTGTTTTCTGAAATGCACGTGTACTGCATGTAAACAGAGAGTTCAGTGAAGTATTGTTGTAGTGCTTGAGGCGGTAGAAATAATTAGTTACAAGATATACTGCACTGTATTCTGTGACAAATATATGTAACTGTACGTGTTAAAACAATTGAAGAATATCTATAAGCTTTCCTTCACTGCCTCATGGTAACATACTACTTAGTAGGATTTCAGAAGTGACTTAAATCTATGCGTGACTTATACAGCAGTTTCTCAACCTTTGATAAGATGAGATAGGCAGGGTGAAAAGAATAATGCATAGGACCGAGTTGAAAAATAGTTTTCTAAGTTTAAGCGTTGTAACTGTAATGGATGAGAAGGATCAATCAGTCTTAGTATTGTCTTACATAATATATGATTTCGAATATTAGTTTGGATTCATACACTTTGATATAAGAATAAAACTTGTGCACTGTGGTAGAGTGTAATTCTATTATGGGTAAATTTTTGTTTTGATAAAGTCTCACAGTGTTATACAGTAGTAATATTTACTGATGACGTTTCGAGCACAATTCATGCCGCTCATAATCATATCAAGGTACTCAAACGACTTCATTTATATAGTTCCATTAAAAAGTGAAAAATAATGAAACTATACAAATAAAGTTAGGAAGTCATGTGAGTACCTTGATATGATTATGAGCGGCAATGAATTGTGCTCGAAACGTCATCAGTAAATATTACTACTGTATAACACTGTGAGACTTTATCAAAACAAAAATTTACCCATAATGGATTCATACACTTGATGCATTTTTCATCATGTTTTTTTGTAATAGTAGTGCGTTGTCTGGATAATTAGAGCATTTACTTTAACATACCTACTCCTTAGCTTTACAATTTGTCATAATTGAAATCTCATGTCACAATGTCCCACTCAAGTTTAGTAATCGGAGAGTAAGTTGACTAATCAACCAAATCTTTGCAAACTTAGCTAGTTAACCAGTTGGTTACAGTATCCCAGCATCAGTCAACAATACCTATCCTATTTTTATGATTTGTTTTATTTCACTTAGCTAAATTCATGTCTGTTTCATGACATTTGTTTTTAGCATTAGTTAATCTGACTAACTGGAGCAGTTTATTGTTACAGATGATCGCTTTCATTTTAATTCTATGATAATATATATATATATTTCACTGGTAATTGCATTTCAGTGAATTGATTTCTCATAAGTGCTAACAGATTACTATTTCATATCACTTTTCCTGTGTGTGTATGTGTGCATCTATTGAGTGTAGCGTAATTTTTAGTTGTGAGGTTAACTAGTGTATGTTTTTGCAATTATTTATCACTAACATTTTATGTCGAGTTATAGGCGTTAGTAAAAGTAACGTGTATTGCTGGGGATCATGTGTAACTACCCAAATGACAAATTGCCAGTTGATAATCAGTCCCTTTAGTATGTTATATGCTGTACAATGTCAATAACAAACAAACAAACAACTGTCTCCTCAGTGTGCGTCCAATCCACCTCCATGTTGAACGATATGTCCTTGGTTGGTTCGTTGAGAGGAAGAGAGTTTCTTGTTGCTAATCCTCTTTTGGTCGTCTGATCTTCAGTCAGATCTAGTTAGCGAATGCAATGTGTTGATAAAATCTGCAGCAGACTGTTGCGAAAACTTTTACTGACCGTCTCGCCAAGACTCTGAACCATTTAGGAGAATTGATTCGATATTACTGATGGCAATTCGTATACTCTTTATTGGGCTGAGTTGGACAGATTTCCACACTGACAAAAGTTTGTCTTGCTTTTGTGATCCTACCTTTGGCATCCCAATATGTGTTGCATGTAGGTGGAATGATTTTGCTTCGATAAAGAAAAGAGATGACTTCACTTCACTTGATACTGATTGATGATTGGTGTTTTTTTGGTCAGGCATCTTCATCACCCCTGTTTTCTCTATATGTTCAACGGAAGTCGTTTCTCGACTGTCTTTCCTGCCAACTTGTTGGTTTCCTCCCGTAGATCTTCCAGTTTTTGTGACATCAGATATGTCTGTCTCTGTCTGTTTTCGACATAGAACTTTGCACAAATGTGTGCCAGTTCAAGTCTCCACACTCCGTGTAGCACGTGAAGCAAGAGAAGAAAGTACAAGAAAAGCATAATGGAGACAGTGAGCAGAGGTGTGAGACAAAGGAGTAGTAATAACGAAGAACAAAACAGTTTCATTGGAGATCATAAGTCACAAGGAGTGGATGCATCTGCGTCACTGAGAACGATTTTGAGCCATCAGATATAAACTATCTCTGCCAAGATCAGATCTTTCAATGTCTTTTCGTCAGTCCAATGTATGCCCATCTCCTTGCTACCATGGGCTGTTGCGAGATCTTGTCTACCACAATGAAGAATATCATGGGTGATAGTAGGCAGTGTTGTCTTTCTTCTGCCTTCACATTTGAAA